ACAATCAACATCCTTGGCACCAGTAAGTCAAGAAATGAAAAGATGTATTGCATTTTTTCAGTTGTGATGTTGAAGAGTACCGAATACCCCATGGACTGCCAAAAGAACAAATAGATATGTCTTGGGGAAGATGAAGTCAGAGTGCTCTGTAAGAGGCACTGATAGGAGCTCTGGGCGCCTACTGGCAAGAAACTGCGCTGCAATCCTAAAGGTGCACAATTCAAATCCTCCATATGCTCCAATGGAGAAGGAGGGGCAATCTCCTCCTGTGCCTGTCAGATACGACTCAATACAAGGAAAAGAAATTTTTTTAAAGAGGCATTGAGGGAGCTATGGTGGCCTAGTGGCAAGAATCTGTGCTACAATCCCAAAGGCACACAGTTCGAACCCACCAGATGCTCTGCTGGAGAAGGAGGGGCAGTCTCCTCCTGTGCTAGCTGGTTCTGATTAGACTGCACACAAGTAATAAAAAAAAAAGAGGCAATGATAGGGAATCTTTGTCTCATATACTTTGAGAATATTGTTAGGAGAGGCTGTTCTTTGAAAAGGGGCATCATGCTTGGAAAGGTGAACGAAAGAGAGGAAGACCCTCAACAAGATGGATTGAGTGACTGCAGCAATGGGCTCAAGTGTGTCAGAACGATGAGGGTGGCACAGGATAGGCAGAGTTCAGGTCTGTTGTTCACAGGAACCTCTGAGTTATACTCAACTTGATGGTGTACAACAATAATATCCTGGATCAGAGCACTGACAGTTCTTGTGACAAGTGACACTTCAGTTGGCATCTTTTGAGACTTAAACATTTGCTGCTGAAAAGCAAGAGTTTTGGATATGTGGTAGCTAGTGTTATGAAATGAAAATGTATTTAATGGCTACAATTAAAAATTTATTTTTAAGCAAAAAGCTGCTATAAGACATAGACAATCTCTAATTTCAGTCAGCTGTCTTAATAGGACACATTGGTAACCTTCTTCAAAGAAATCTTTTATGTCTGAAGTCAAAGACTTGAGAACTTTACAGCTATCCTGGCAGCTACATTTCCATACTGTTTTCAGAGCTGACTTGCTGTTTTAGACTCTGGTTACCTAACTATGAGAATAAGATAGTCAAGAGAAGGCAGAGAAGTGAAGGAGATCCAATCCCAAGCCCAATCACCACACTGCCAGCGAACAGATGTGAACAAGTGAGCATGGAGTGGGGTGGGGGGGCGGTGGGTTGGTACATTGCAACATTTCTGAGCTCTAGCCCCATTGCCTCAGCTCACAGAGATTGTGAAAGCCACTATGAATCCTGGCTCTGGTATTTTCCTTTCACAAACTTCCGTATTCAAGGAGGATGACTTAACAAGATTTCTGGCGCCGGAAAATGCCTTAACAAACAGTGTCCCCAAAGTAGTTGATAGTCAGCCAGCTAAAATCTTAAAGGAATAGTATCACCATGCAAATCTCAAATGTGGCAACAAGGACACAGGATTGAGTGCTGATCATTCTATAAAAATTTCTTGAGCGCCTGCTATGTGTTTGCTGTTGTTCTAGGCCATAAGAATGTAGCTGGGACACTGCAGTTCCAGTGGTATACGGTTTGGATCCACCAGATGCTCTGCTGGAGGAGGGCCAATCTCCTCCTGTACCTGTCAGATCCAATTTGATGGTACACACACAAAAAATAATCAAATAAAATTTAAAAAAAAGAATGCAGTTGGGAACAAAAAACAAGGTCCTTGTCTTGATGAACATACCCTCTAAATTATGCCAGAATTTGATTTAATAGGTATTTAAAGGGATTGTTCATCCTTCAAGCTCCTACAGATAATTTACCCTCAATGCTCTCTCAATGAAGGCTCTTAAGATTCTGGGCAAAGGAGATCCTGTCAGCAAGCCGACTGTAACCTCCTAACCAGGAAACTCACTACACTGTGAAGAATTTAGTTAATAAGTGAACACTCATTAAATTATCTAGTCTCATCACTTAAGCACTGGCCCAATGGTTCAGCGCTTAGCTGCTAATTCAAAGATCAGCAGTTCAAACTTGCAAGTGAGGTGGGAGAAAGATGTGACCATTCGCATCTGTGAAAAATTACAGACTTGCAAACTCTGGAGCTGTTCCCCTCTGTTATAAAGCTGTTAGCAACTTGAATCAATGACAGCAGGTTTGGTGCATACGTCACTGAAAGAAGGAACCCTGACAACACAAAACTGTGTGACTGACTGCTAGCCAAAAGGCTGCCAGTTCAAATCCACTTGGTAGCTCTTCAGGAGAAAGCCCAAGTGACCTGCTTCAGTAAAAATTTGTCATGGAAACTGTAAGGCCAGACTCCTGGCACGTGAGCCCAATGTGAGTCAGTGGACAGCCCTCAACAGCCATCACATAAGGTTCAGTGTATGCTACAGACTACCAGTCTGTACTAAACTATCAGTGGATAGTTTTTCCTATAGGACTGGATGAAACAACCACTTGGACTTGGATGTTGAGGCTCTGTGGCATTACCTCCAGATACAGTGGCTGGTCATGACATCGAGTTGTCTTTTTTTTTTTTTTTTTAGTTTAATTTAATTTTATTATTTAGTGTACCGTCAAATTGGATCTGACTGGTACAGGAGGAGATTGCCCTTCCTTCTCCAGCAGAGCATCTGGTGGACTTGAACCGCATAACTCTGGGATTGCAGTGCAGTTTTTTTTCCTCTAGGCCACCAGAGCTCCCAACATTGAGCTGTCTTACATGGGGAGGACACATGCATTTACAATCTTACAGGTGATATTTGAAGCATTATCAGTAATGCAGAAACTCATTGCCATCAAGTTGGAACTGGATCATAACTTGTCCTCCAGCAAGTGGTTTTCAGAGCCTGCACAGAAGGAGGTTGCCTATCTTTTGCCTGAAGAGTAGCTGGTGGACTTGAACTGCTTGCTTTTGTGTTGGCAGCACAACTCCTTACCCAGTTGGCCACCAGAGCTCCTTATTAGGAGAAGGAATTTTTTTGCATGGAAACAGTGTTTGCATGGAAGGGTAAAATGTGGTAGCAACCCTCCTTCAGGTTTCTGAGATCTGTACGGGAGGAGGCTGCCCAGCTTTCTCTAAGGAGCAGCTGGTGGATTTGAGCTGCCAGCCTGGCAGCCTAATAAATTTCACGCTGTACCACCAGCGCTCCTGTCTACCTTGAACCTAAGTCAATAATTTAACCACTTCTCACCACTTTGTTTCACTACTATTGCCCAAGCACAATCACCTCATACTCAGATTATTGCAATAATTCTACTTCAATCTTGACCCTTTGCAGTCTTTTCTGAACACAGTGGTTGAAATGGTCCTGAGACTGCTCAGAACCCTCAGATTGCTTCTCCTTGTACAAGGTAAAAGCCAATGGCCTATGTGCTCATGCCTCTGCCCCATCATCTCTGTGACTTTGTGTTTCAATGCTCGCCCCTGTTCATTCCTTGCTGTTCTTCAGCTCACCAGCCTCACTCTGCTATCAGGGCCTTTGCAGATGCTTTATCTAAAATAGATTCTCCCTAGATATTTGCACAGCTCACCCTCCCCCACTATCTTTGTTCCTCACAAGTCTTCATCTGCATCTTTCCTCGGTCAAGCCATACCACTCCCAGCCCACTGACATTTCCTATCCCCCCATCCTTCTGAATATTTTTCTTTACAGTACTTATCACTATTGCTACACTTAGAAGGAAGCACTGGTGGCCTACAGCTAAGGAGTTGTGCTGCCATCCCAAAGGCAAGCAGTTCGAATTTACCTGTTATTCCAGAGGAGAAAGAGGGCCAATCTCCTTCTGTGCAATTGAGTCTCTGAAAACCCACCGAAAGGTCAGCTGTGAGTGAGTTCTGGTTCCATGATACACAAAAGTAATAGCTACAATTAGGATTTCCTTATCTCATTTATTGCCTGTCTCCTCCACAATGTAAGTCCCTGAGAACTGGGTTTTGTTTACACTCTCTAGACTTAGAACGGTGCCTGCCACTCAGTTTTGTTTTGTTTTCCTTGACTAGAATTCTAAAACCACCTGGGAAAAACCCAAGCTCTCTTCCCCCCCCCCCTTTCTTTCCCTTCCACAAATAAAATGCCTCCAGACAAAAGACAAAAGGAAGCTTCAGGGAGCACTGAGGCCCAGCGAAGAGGGGAAACCAAACTCTGAAGCAGTTTGAGGGCTGGGAGGGAAGAGGCTGCTTAGCTCAGACCAGCCCCATCTCCTTGGGGTTAAACGTCCTCACACCCAGAAATAACCACTGTGGTCCTCCCCATCTGTTGATCACGGGCTCAGTGCTTTCCATAGATAGCAATTACAAATAAATGTAGAAATGTATTTATTTATTCAGAAATTAGGTGCACCGTAGTCTCTCTGGAGAGTCATGAGATCAGAAAACACAACTTCAAAGCCAGAAAGCAACGAGAGGAATTTCTAATCTATAGCAAGTCTTCTTACAATATCTGTTTCATGGTTATGATGGCAAACTTTATGGATTTTACCGTACACACCCTATACACTCATATTTTAATGTCTCTTTTATACCCTCTCTCTTTTCCCTGCCGCTGCTGCTCCCAGCCTTCTTCTCCCTAGAGAATGCCTCTCCCAGAGTCTTTGTGCCCCTTTTCCTTCCCTCCCATCCCCCTTTCTCCTAATTCTATCTCGATCCCTAGAGTCCCACAGGGCTCAATAGATAAAGAAACAAGCAAGCCACCAGCACGAATGCTCTAGCAATGTTTCATCCCAGCACATACGTGGTTTCTCATCCCCTGAGGTGGGTGTTCTGTCCACTCTATGGAAAAGCAAGCTGTAGCTGGGGGAGATTGTGACTTGCCAGGATCTCAAAGCCAGTGGGTGGCCCAGGCAAGTCTCCTCAAAGCCCCGCATGCTCTGTCCACTCTGCCATGGAGGCTTGTCGTCAAGGAGATGATACGACTTCTTCCCCTCCAGTTGGCCCCTGGACAGCCACTGCTTCTGAGCAGCGAACAGCCTGGGACCCACCGACCCTCCTCAGCCTCTGCAGAATGTCCAACCAGGATCTGAAGTAAGTGGGGCCTAGACAGCCGGCTTCTCTTTCCCTGGGGCCAGGTTTGGGGTTACTGTGGCAACGGCACATCACTCAGCTTCTCTTGCAGATCCCTAAAGTTCTGCCTGAGTCCTGGGGAGGGGCGAGCAAGGAAAGAAAACAATATGTAATTGTTGGGAATGCATCTTCTTAGATGGCACATTTTTATAATATTTCACTTGTAAAACATGAATGTATTCAATATTGATACTAGATGGCACATTTTAAGTCTGTGGTGGTGGCGAGGGTAAAGTTTCTCTCTCCCTTATCAAAGTTTGCATGTCGAAAAACCACCTATTACCTCCTCACTCTTTCACTTGCCGTTAATAATCTCCATCCAAATATGATGCTCATAGCCTGAAAGATAAGAAACATTTATAGTTTCCCTGGAATCTAAGAAGGCTTTCTCTTCTCTTTTCACACTTCTAAAAATCTTTAGTCAGAATGAGGGAATACAACAGTGATCTAAATTGTCTTATTTCTATTCTTTTGTCTAGATTTAGATCATCTCTTTATTTCATACTGACTGGAAGTGTCTGTTGTCAGCAATGTCCTTTCATTGCAAACAGAACTACTGATTGCACTGAGTGCATTAGCACATTTGATTTAATGCCTTTTTAGGGTGAAAGGAAGTGTCTGAGAAGTAGAGTGACTTGTTTAAGCTAGTATGAGGCACAGCCAGGAGTCAAACTCAGTTCTGGCTGAGTTGAAGACCAAATAAGAATTAGAATTTGTTTGAAAACCCTTCTAAAGGTTGGGGAAAGTCAGAGCAGGTCTGTGGTGAAGGAACTGTTCCAGGCCCCAGCTAGGGCTTCCAGTACCCTGGTGGGGCTCAGGGGGGACTCCAGGGGGAGAGGTCTCCTTCCCAGAAGTCCTTGCAGCATCTTGGCTTTATGGGTAGTTTCCTGTCAGACTGGGGCAAGGTACCTCACATGTGGTGCACGCAGTTCTCCTGGAGCAGGTGGGACCTGGCCCTCCAGCTATCTGCCTCCAGCCCATCCTGATCTGTGGCTTCCTAGGGTGGAACAAGTAGCTGGAAAGAGGTTCTCTGGTCATCTGTGTTCTGGGAAGCTGCATTTCTTGACTCTGTTTCTGCTTCACTTCATGTCCCTTGTGCCCCCCCTCTCAGCTGTCCCCCCCAGCTCTGTGCCCCCTCCCTCACTGCCAGTTCCTCACTCAGTGCCTCCCTCCTCCTGTTCTCAGTATTACAGCAAAGCTCATCAATGGAGGTGTGGCAGGACTCGTGGGGGTGACGTGTGTGTTCCCCATTGACTTGGCCAAGACTCGATTGCAAAACCAGCAGGGAAACGCCATCTACAAAGGAATGTAGGTGTGAGTGAGGGCAGTGGGTGAGGAGAGGGAGCCGGACCTTGAGAGGATACGGACACTCACTTTTCCCATAAACTCTTTAGGGGATGTGTGAGTTGGGGTGGGGGGCGGTCAGGGAGGAGGCTTACTGGGTATTAAAGGCTGATGGAGTTGTCCCCTGTTCACCACTGGCTTCTTTTCCCACAGGATAGATTGCCTGATAAAGACAGCCCGGGCTGAGGGCTTTTTTGGCATGTACCGAGGTAGGTTTATCAGGCATTCCCTGAGGCCTGTGGGTAGGATACAGGTGTGTCAGCTTTGTGAGGTTCTACCTGCGGGAATCAGTGTTCCTGTGGCCCAGGGGACTCCTGGGATGGGCCTGCGGCTGCTGGGGTGACACTAGAGTGCAGGTGCTTTTCACTAGCCTTTGTGCTTTTCGGTGGAGCTGGAGGTAGTTAAGGGAGTGCTGGTGGCCTAGTGGTAAGGAGCTGCACTGCCATCCCAAAGGTACACGGTTTAAATTCACCAGCTGCTTCGCAGGATATGCAGTCTCCTCCTGTGCGATCAACTGCCTCTGAAAACCTGCTTGAGGGTCAGCTACAGGTCAGTTCCCACTTGATGGTAGACAACAACAACAACAACAACAGAGGGAGTTATGGTTCCTGGTGACGCTTCAGGAGGTACCACGGGTCACACCATGGCTGCTCCTCACACAGACCTGAACCCAGCTTCTGACCTGGTGCCACTGTGGCCTTGCTGTGTGATGATTAAAGCAAGCAGCCCCAAACTGTCATCTTCCTTCTCTTCCCTCCAGCCTCTTTGCTCCCTTCTCAGTCTCTCTGGAGTTGCAGGGCTCCAGGCCCCTAACAGCTGGAGAAGAAGAGGCTGACAGGGACAGAACATGGAAAGGGCTTTGGGTCTCTGGACTCATGAGGTCGTTGGTTCTTCCTTGTAACAATCCAGCACCCCCCACCCCAAGGGTGATTATGCTTGGAAATGGCTGACATGGTGGTTGCCCGTAAGAATTATATAAAGACCTGGGGGAGCTCTGATGGCCTGGTGGCAAGAAGCTGCACTGCATTCCCAAAGATACACGGTTCAAATTCACCAGATGCTCTGCTGGAGAAGGAGGGGAAATCTCCTTCTGTGCCAGTCAGATCTGATTTGACAGTACACACACAAAATTATTATTATTATTAATAATAATAATAATAATAAAGAATTATATAAAGACCTGAAGGATGTGGGCTGCCAGTGGGGCTGGGCTAGTGTAGAGCTGTGTAATGGAGACATCAGCTTTGTCCTCCAGGGGCTTATTATCAGCCTTGAAACCGAGAATGCTCATTTATCATTGAAGGTGGACAGCAGCAACAAGACAAAAAGGAAATGCCTTCCTGCCACCCGGACTAATGAGCCCATAAAGAAAGCAAATATATAAAAAAGAAGAGAATGTAGCGGACAAAGGGTGATGGAGGGATAAAACCCAAAATTTATGTTTCAATAAAACAGACCAGAGGTGCCCTCCATGATCCCCAGAATCTCCCTCTACCCCCAGAGATTACTGGCTGGGGCAGAGTGGCCAACTCAGAGCTCGGTTCCTGGAGGGCCTTTCCCCCTCATTTTCATTTTTCACTTGCAGGGGCTGCAGTGAACTTAACTTTGGTCACCCCTGAAAAGGCCATCAAGCTAGCAGCCAACGACTTCTTCCGGCAGCTGCTCATGGAAGATGGGTACGGGCCAGGGGAATTCTTCACTCGATTTCTGGTTCCTGGGAGGAGAAGCAAGGGTCAACCGTGTCTCAATTTACCCTTATGCATATGTATAAATATATGCACACATACGGCTGAGGGTTAGCATGTGATGTGCTTTGGCAAGTAGAAAACGAAGGGAGAGAACGAGCTGTAATTCAAAGATGAGCAGTCTCCTCCTGTAAAGATTTGCAGCCTTCAAAACCTGCAAGAGTGAAACATGTCTGAGGATCGAAAGGGGGGAGGACAGAGGTGAGGATGGATGGAGGGTGTAATCATAGGGTCACACAACAGGATGGACGGAGGGAAGGGTAGGTTAAGGAAATGGCAAAGATCTGGTGTGAAAAACAATGTATACAAATTTTGTAAGTAAACCATTATAAGTAAAAAGTGGGGTTTTTTTTGTAAAAAGCTTGTATTTTTTTAAACCCCAAAATGTGATCGAGGTTCTTCAGACATCAAATGAAACTCAATAGCAGTGGGCTTGGGGTTTTAAAAAAATATTTATATGTACATGTGGGTGTGTGACTGATAGATATATTTTCTGAAGATAGTTATATATATTCTAGATAAATAAATAGTAAATATTCTAGAGATGGAGATATATATATATATTCTGGAGCTATATAGATATGTAGGGAGCTCTGGTGGCCTAGTGGGAAGAAGCTGAGCTGCAATCTCTAAGGCATGCGGTTTGAGGCCACCAGCTGCCCTGTGGGAGGAAGGGCAGTCTGTTCCCATGTGATTAAATGCCTCTGAAAACCAGCTGCAGGGTCAATATATCTCCAGCAGGTTTTCAGAGGCAGTAAATCACTCTGGAGGAGAGTGCCCATCCTTCTCCTACTGAACAGCTAGCTGGTGGATTTGAACTGCATGACTTGGTATTGCAGAGCAGCTTTTTACCCACCAGGCCACCAGAACTCCCTATATAGGATGACGGGTAAGGAGTTGCTCTGCCAACCCAAAAGAGGCAGTTTGAATCCACCAACTTCTCTAAGGGAGAAAGATGGACAGTCTCCTCCTGTGTGATATATAGCCTCTGAAAACCCACTGTAGAGTCAACTTGAATTGATCTGACTTCACAGCAATGAATTTGAGTTGGAGATATATATTCTAAAATATATATGGACTTTTGTTTTAGCGTCTCATGCCTTTAAGGAATCTAGTCCTGAGATCAGGAGATTATTACCCGTCTGGGAGAGAGGCAGTTGGTGGAGACAGGAATCAATACCAGTCATGGAAGTCCTGACCACCCTGGAAGGTAGATGGGCCCTCGTGGGCACAGAGCTGGTATGTGACTTGAGGGCTTTTGACTCCTGGTTCCATAGGGTACAGCGGAATCTGAAGATGGAGATGCTAGCTGGGTGTGGAGCTGGAATGTGCCAGGTGGTGGTGACCTGTCCCATGGAAATGCTCAAGATTCAGCTGCAGGATGCTGGGCGAGTGGGTGAGGGCTTGCTCTGACTTCACACAGGATTGGTAAAGGGCTGTGATCCAAATAGACTCCAGGCATCTCTACCCCCAGTGGCTGAACTGTGTGATCCAGTCAGCTCACAAATTCTCAGAAATATTAATGATTACTATTCTAGACTTTAACACTTCCAGCTCAAGAGCAAAGAGCAGAAATGAGATCTTGGATTCAGAAATCAAGGAGAACCTAAAAGCTCTGTCATACACCTTGACGTTCACACTTCATTTCCTAAAGATTTTATGAAATGCCCATCAATGGTCTCCTCACTGACACAGGAATCATTTGGAATTTTATCCCATGGAAGCTGGCTTTCAATGAGAAGAGATAGGAAAGGGAGAAAAAAGCCTTTTCTGTTCTTTGGTATTCCCTGGTAGAGAAGCTTGGCCTTTCCTAAAGCCCAGTCCTCTCAGAAATGGTGTGTGTGTGGCGGGGGAGAGTAGATGTCTAATCATGTAGGGAAAAGCCAGGACTGGCTGCCCAGGTCAACCAAAGCAGAAAGCACAGACACCTCTGATGTGGAGCAAAATACCGTGTCTGAGTCAGAGAAGCAGGCACCTGACATGGAGTGGAGTGCTTCATTTAATGCAGATGCCCTTCCTCACCTCAGACAAGCTAGAATTCAACTGGATACTTCAGCTGGATTAGATCAGTCAGAAGCAAATTAAACAGCAGGAAGAAGTTAAGGGACTAGGAGTCCCCCAGTGTGTTTTGATCTGCAGAGTAAAATCCTTCTAATGTTCAGTTCCTCAACCTGGGTAAGAAGCTTCAGTATTCCTAAAATACTGCAAAGAAGTGAGGGTACAGATCAATTTTGAAAATACATTTCAAGATGACAGAAAAAGTTAATATTCATGGTATTAAGTAACTACTCACAGCTAATGTGTGAGACCTGCCCTTACATTACTACCACGGAAACTATGTGTGGTATTTATCTTCCTAGTATGACATGTTGGACTTTTAAAAAAACCAGCTAACCAAATCCCAAAGCAGTCATTTATCAAGTTGATTCTGGCTCATGGGCCACCATGTGTGTCTGAGCAGAGTTTTCAGTGAATATTCTCTATAGGGTTTTCAATGGCTTCAATAGCCGATTTTTTTGGAAGTAGACACACCAGGCCCTATTCTGAGGTGCACTTGGTAGACTCAAGCCATCAACTTTTCAGTTAACATTGAGCAAGTTAACTGTTTGCAACCTGCATGTAGATTACTACTGTAGAAAAATAAGAACCGTAACTGTCTTCTTCCTGTGAAGTGTCGCACTGATGGATACCAAACTTGAAAACTAAAAGCTTCTTTTAGCCAAGGGCTTGTAACAGGCAAAACTGCTTAAACTCTGAGCTTTGAGAAAATATATATTTACATATAATAAATCCTATGATGATTAGTGGGATGCATCCTTGTGAAATTGCTTGCATTTATTATGCTGAGAGGTGGTGGTGGGGAATCTATTCCATTTACTCCATATTGAGTTCATGATGGGCTGTGAACTAATAAACTAAAATAGACTGATGTCTAATGAATCAAATCCCAAACAGTGAAAAAAGTATATAATAAGGAAGAGAAAAGGACACGTTCACCTAATATTGGAGCATTTAAGGGGAGAAGGCACTACTGTTTTTTGAGAAACAAAATTTGCTGGTTTACACATTATGAAAGAGATATATGGGATTTCTATGTCCCAAATGGTTAAGGGATCAAAAAGATAGTATTAAAAGGATAAGATGTCCTTGGGTGAGGAGCACCTGAGTCTTAGAAGTTTGTGAGTGGCGATCTCAATAGTAGCTGCAACTATTTGTCCCTCTCCATCCAGAACAATGAAGAGTAAAGAAAATCAAAGATATGGAAGCAATTAGGCCAAAGGACTAACAGGCCATGCGAAGCTCAGCCTGTGGATACTGAGGCGGGATGGTGCCAGCCACCAGTGCTGACCGCTCTGAAGAGGAACACTGGGGAGGGTCCCAGATAGAGGGGGGAATCTGTGGAACAAAACTCTAAACCATAAAAATATTAGGAAAAAAAAGCAGGCTTGCTGATCCAATAGACTGGCAGAATCGCCAGTCTGTGGCCCTTAGTGACCTCTTGAGCCCGGAAGTGAACTTAGGCTGTTGGCTCAACCTGCAGCTAAACAAAAGACAGGCCTGTAAGGTGAACGGTAACACCAGGGATGAGCGTACCCCTTAGAATAGTCAACCACTCAAGACGAGAAGGGCAGTATTCGTCCAGGGATGAAGTTCAGCAGGTAGGCAGGAAGAAGAGGAATAAACAGGGGAACAGGGAGGACGTGGGAAGACTCTGGGGGGATTGCTTCAGTCTAGGAAACAAACTGGGTATGAAGTCTTAATGGAAAGCCAATTTGCTCTGTCAACCTCAAGTCACAAGAAAAGATTTTTAAAAATAAGATGAGAAACGGGTGCACTGGTACAGAAAACCAAAAATAAAAAAACAACACGATACCAAAAACCACAAAACCCTGACCCCCTACTGCTAGCAAATCTGACTCCCAGTGTCCCTCCGCTGGGTTTTCAACCTTCACAGAAGTGCACAGGCCATCTTCCTCCCATGGAACAAGAGGATTAGAACCGCTGACCTTTCAGTTAGCAGTGTGACACATAACTCAGCTTCCTGTAGAGAAAGCAGGGCAGGAAATGGCTATGTTCATGCGAGGGATATCAACAAATCCTGGGATGGCTAGCCAGTCTGTTCAGTTCAGTGTCATTTGTCCTGTTCTTATCCAGGGGCACTTTAGTAGATGATACAGATCTTAAAGATTTCCGTCAAGTTTAAAAAAAAAAGAAAAAAAGAGTTCTAAAGTTAGGACAGTCCTCAGAATTTTAGGTGTTTCCTTAACATAGATGATGATAGATAGATAGATAGATAGATAGATAGATAGATAGATAGATAGATAGATAATCTATCTTAGAGTTGTCCTAGAGATAGGAACTGGGAGTCATCCTCTGGGAAATGTCTTCAGCAGTCACTGGGGCTGGATTATGATGGCAGTCTGTCCTCTCCCTTTCAGCCGTCCACCAGCAGGGTCCAGCCTCCGCGCCTTCTTCCTCCAGATCCTACACAACTGGTTCGGCTCCCACCCACAAGCGTCCATCTGCCACCCTCATCGCCTGGGAGCTGCTTCGCACTCAAGGCCTGGCTGGCCTCTACAAGGGTCTGGGTGCCACTCTCTTCAGGTGAGGATCTCCCTGTACTTGGGACCCACTCAGCCCTGGTTTGCTGAAGTCCAGGGAGAGGGAACTAATCTGCTCTCATAGAGCATCTGGTGGATTTGAACTGCTGACCTTTTGGTTAGCAGTGTAACACATGGCAAATGGCATCTGTACTTCATTTTTTGGTACAGAATCTGGCAGGTACCGGAAGGAGGACTAAAACATTAGCTCCCTGTCCAGTGATTAGCACATTAGTATTTTGGATACAATTTTGGGTCTTTTATAAATAAAATATGCTCCTTCATTTTACCTGTCTTTTAAATGAGCCATCTAGTTCTTGATCAAAATCCTTGAAGTTTGTCAGAAGAGTCCAATGCCAGGTGTTTTCTCTTGTCACCTAGGCAACAGATGTATGAACTTTACTCTTACCTCTCCTTACAACTCTTCATCAGTCATTTGCATTATGTGCTAGCCAAAAGGTCAATGGTTCAAATCCACCAGCTGCTCTATGGGAGAAAGATGAGCAGTCTCCTCTGACAAAAATTTACAGCCTGGGAAACCAGATGGTCACTGAGTCAGAACAGACTCAAAGGCAGTAAGGGTTCAGCCTGCCTGCCTGTTTAGTAAAGTAACTTGCTAGTCCTTGAATCAGCTTCTGGTTCCTCATTAAGAGGCTAGACAGCTGAATAATGAATTGGGTGGTGGTTATAGTCAAGTCAGAATCAACCTACAGCTGACCCTCCTGCAGGTTTTCAGATGCAGTGAACTGCATGGGAGGTATTTTCGCATTAGGGAGTGCTGGTGGCCTAGTGGCAAGAAGCTATGCTGCAATACAGAAGGCATACAGTTTGAATCCATCAGCTGTTCCACGCGAAAAGGATGGGCAATCTCTTCTCATGTGATTAATTGCCTCTGAAAATGAGCAGGAGGGTCAGCTGTGGGCTGGTCCCCAAAACAACTAACAATCTTTGCATTAGTAGCACAATTCCTTACCACCAAGCTCCCCTGGGTAGGTAGGGTAGCTATCTCATTATCTATCATCAGGTGCCAGACAGGAACATGTCGGCACATATGGAGGCTCAGCTCTGTCACACCGAACTAGTATCATAGCTCAAGGGGACCTCAAGAGGAGAAGCCCCAGGGCAGTGCTGTGCATGGTTCAGTGTTTCTTCTTCTTTCCAGAGATATTCCCTTCTCCATCATCTACTTCCCACTGTTCGCCAACCTTAACAACCTTGGGTTCAACGAGCTTACAGGGAAGGCCTCCTTTGCTCATTCCTTCGTGTCAGGCTGCACTGCAGGCTCTATAGCTGCTATCGCAGTGACACCCCTAGACGGTAAGTGTGTGGGAGACTGAGGGACTATCTTGGGTTGACGTGCTTGCTTAATAAGTTAGGCAATTTGTGTAATAAATAGTGGTTTTGCATGTCTAGAATAAAGATAAAATAGCCCTCACCCTGAAAATTCTTCTGGTGTCTCAATCTGAGCATCGGCAGAAATGCACCAGTAGTTCCCCTCATAAACAAGGGGCGAAGTAGACCATCACTCAGTTTCTTATCCCTGACAAGTTTCTTCATTATTATCTAGAAACTGAAGTATGTAACTTCAGTAGTTACACATCTGTATTGTTATGTGCTGTCGAGTCACTTGCAATTCATAGAAACCCTATGTACAGCAGCCCCGAAACCTGCTCGATCCTGTGCCAACCTTATTGTCTCTGACATACCTATCCTCATTACCCCAGTCACTGAAAAAATCCGTCTCATCAAGGGTTTTCCTCTCTTGCACTGTCCCTCCACCCTCCCAAGAATGAAATCCTTATCCATGACTGGTTCCTTCTTGCAACATGTCAAAAGTATGTCAGATGAAGCCTCAGAATCCTTGCCTCCCAGGAGCGGCCTGGTTTCACCTTCTCCAAGATGAAGCTGTTGCTCTCTTGGCAGTCCATGGTATATTCAATACTCTTCTCCAGCACCACAGCTCAAAGACATCAATTCACTATCATCCTTAGTTATTGTCCAGCTTTCTGCTGCATAGCAAATAACTGCAAAGGATCAGGCTCTTCAGCACTATGGAGAGGTCCCTGGCAGTGTACGCGTGCGCGCGCGCGCGCGCGCACACACACACACACACACACACACACACACACACACACACACACTCTCTCTCTCTCTCTCATCACCTCAGTAGTTAAAAGCATCAGTGCTACATGATTCCATACACATTAAAACCTGAGACTTGGTACAGGAGCTAAACAAAGAGCAAGAGGACAGTCTTTCCTGTGTTCTGGGGTTGCAATGTATTTCTCCAGCACATCGATAGGCTTGGAAGTGTATCTGCCTCTGAAAGATCATACTCTTGAATTCCCTAAGTTTCATTATGTCCAGAGTGGAGACGATGTTCCATTTCAGACCACCCAATGGCAGAACTACCCTCATGACTCAAATTTTACATGTTCTAAATGGAAAGTCAACTACTTGTGTGAAGACAATACCAAAAGCAAGATGGCTACTACTCATTTTCACCTCTCCTTGACTTAGTTTTAAAAACTCGAATCCAAACCTTGAAGAAAGGTGTGGGTGAGGAAGTCTACAGCGGAATCACCGACTGTGCCAGGTGAGAGCTCGATATCCCGGCTGCTCCCTTTTATCCGTACATCATCCTTCTCCTAAATGGTCTAGCCTAAGAAGCCAGGTTCTGCCTGCATACACATCATGGGCAAAGCACGGCTCCCACCATCCGAGAACCTTACTATTGCTGTGCAAAGTGACAGCTATTTTAAAGGGCAAATGTTTGAGGAAGAGGCTGCCATGCACTATAGCTCGCCGTTTGCTACTGCCCCTCAATTCACAGGCTCTTCTCTCTCCCCAGGAAAATCTGGATTCAGGAGGGACCATCGGCCTTTATGAAAGGAGCAGGCTGCCGGGCCCTTGTCATAGCGCCTCTCTTTGGGATTGCACAAGGCGTCTACTTCATTGGCATAGGAGAGCGCATCCTAAAGTTTTTTGAGTAGATATTGCTGGATCTGGAGTCCTTCGACTTGCTGCCATCTCTCTACCTACCCCATTTTACCTAGACTAGATGAGGTAAGAGCAAGGTGACCTACCATGTTGTATGTTGTCCTCTAACTCATAGTCCTACCTCAATCTGGGAAGAAACCACCTTATCCCATTAAGTAAACTGGACTGCACCCTATTCTGCCCACATAATACCTGCACTCACTTCCTTGGAGGAGAAGAAGGGTATAGCTACCAGGGAATTGTCAGCAGCCCTTAACTACCTAACCTTCAACAGTAATAAATATGATACCTACTTGTATTAATGGCAGGGCCTTAACAAACAGTAAACGTGTAAGGGTTGTTTCTACATTTCATTTCTACTCAAAATCTCAATACACTTGTCAGTTTAAATATTTTGCTAATCCTGAATGGAATAATTTATGGTTAACGCTGGCACAGATTTTTAGGAAAGGAAGAATCAGAAATTCAAAGGGACCATGGAAGCCCTCAAGTCAGGACTTAAACTGAAACCCGTTGAACCCTATCAAATTGTGCTGAGGGGTTGGGACACCTCCACTTGAAGGTTCTGAGCCCAGTTAGGATGGCTATCTCCACAAACTGGGACAAAGTGCCCTCTTAGACCCATCTTTACCACTGACCATGGAACATTATTTGAAATAAAATTGACTGTTTAAATATCTGGTCTACAGTGAAGACTGTCCTCTGCTTTTCTGTGTCCACTTCACAACTAAACATTAAAATAAGCATTGAACAGGTCACTATCATTTATTCACCAAAAAGTTACTTAACAGAGGACAGTAACCTTAAGAGTCTTGGTTAATAATTGATAATTATTTGTTGCATCATCTCGAAGGACTGTGTTTCCCCCATGAACCTCAATTTCTTTCCCAAGGCTGCTTCAGAGGTGAAATTATACCACACAGTGGAGTCAGGTACTCAGGGGAAAAAAAACAAACCTGTCCATGAGTTAGTTTCATCAGTCCCCACCTAATATAAAGCTTACATCAATGAGGAGGACGATGCTGAGATGGTCAGCCTTGGTGGCCTCTGTATTAAGATGAGTGCATCTCGGTACCAGCTGTGCTATTTGTGAACTCAATACAACATTGCAGAGTAATGAATATCTCATAGACTTCTAAAAGAACAACCAAATCTGTCTCAGAGGAAGTGTAACAGGGTGCTCCTTAGAAGCAAAAATAGTGCAATGTCATTCCATGTACTTTGGGAATGATGGCCAACAAAGTTCTTGGAAAGGCAGAGAGTCAGTGAAAAAGAGAGGAAGACCCTCAGTGAGACAGACTGGTAAGTGGTCCTGAGGATGGCACTGGACAAGACAAATTTCAAACTACTGTTCAGAAAGTGCTATGAGTTATAGTCAACTCAAAGGCACCTAACATTGTGGAGAAACTGGAACCCACTGTTGGTGGGGGTGTAAAATGGTGCAACCACTCTGGAAGGCTATATGGCACTTGCTCAAAAAGTTGCAAATAGAGACACCATTTGACGCAGTAATTCCACTACTGGGAATATACCCCAAAGAGACCATAATTGCCACCCAAGCAGATATATGCACACCCATGTTTATCGCTATTTTGTTCACAACAGCAAAGAGCTAGAAACAACCTAAGTGTCCATTAACAAATGAATGGATAGAGAAGCTGCGGTATATGCACACAATGGAATACTACACTGCACTGAAAAACAAGGAACTCATGAAATATACAAAATGGGTGACTCTGGAGGACGTTATGCTGAGTGAAGTATGTCAGTCACAAAAGGACAAATACTGCATAGTGCCACTGTTGTAAAACGGGACTGACATCGGGGTTAGGGGGAGACTGAGAAAGATGGGATAAATTATGTATACTGCATTGAAATAGATGAGGGAGAAAACTGTTTAAAAGAGATATATGATTAGGTATTACTGTCATGACAGGAGTCCTGAATGAAGGCTGCATAGTGGAATGGACTTGGGGGGAGGGATTGTGTAACAAAGAAAGTATTTTTCTTTTACTTTTCAAAGCAAAGGCTGCATAGTGGAGTAGATTTAGGGGGAGGATTGTATTACGATGAAAGAATTTTTTTTTTACTTTTCAAAGAGAAGAGTGAAGTGTGTGGGGGAGGTTGGGCAGGGAGAAAAGTGCAACAATGAATGAATGGAAATCCAAAGTCTCTGTAAACTTTCATTAAAATTCATTAAAAAAATTTTTTTAAAAAAGGACATCAGACTAGGAAAAGTGGAGAGTCAGAGAAAGAAAGGAGGGCAAAATGGATTGACACAGTGACTGTACCAATGGGCTCAATTATATCAGTGATCATGAGGCTGGATATAGCACAAGGTTCTGTTCACACGGTCACTATGAGTCACAGTTAACTTGATGGCACCTGACAACAAACAACAACAAAAAAACTAAAAAAAAGGGCACCTAACAACAACTCAAAACCTTGGGCAGACGTGAGTAGTTATCTGAGGAAAAAGTAATAGAGAAGAGGATGAGGAGGAAAATAAAGGAAATTTGTTAAACAGTAACCCTGAAAATATTAATGTCTTTTGTGACTCTGACAAAGCTAATAAAACTATTCCATCAATAAAGCTACAAAATTCTTAGAGAAGACATCTGTGGGGAAGGGGGTAGGTGATCCATGTGCATGGAAATGAATACTTTTTTACTGCAGGTCTGGTCAAAGTGACCAGACCTGCCAGGACACACAGAAGACGTGTGGATTTAATGATGGTGGCAAATTATCATTGTGATAGGAACTTGGTAACTGGCTCTTTTCCTGTTAACTCAGTAAAGACTTGTCTCTCGAACCAAAAATGTGCCTGGCCTTGCACAAGAAATTACAATAAAATCCACACAAATCTTTCTTTTAATAAATAATGCATATTCATGGTTTAGACTTTTAAATCACAATTTACAGATGAGGAAACCTGCTGGGCCCACTAGAGAACAGTAAAGCTACTACAGCCGGAAGGAAGGCATGCCCTACATGCGTTTTAGACCTAAAGTGCAGAGAGCTGACAGCAAGACCACCACAGATGTCATCCTCCAGGTAAGTGGCAAAAGAGGAGAGCCCAGTCATCCTCCAGGTAAGTGGCAAAAGAGGAGAGCCCAGTCATGTTCAAGCCCCACCGTTTGGGCCCGTCATCTGCATGCTGCAGAGCCAACGGAAAGCTGCGCTGCTTTTAGATGAACTAGCGGTTTCATCCTAATCATTTTAAGTGAAACGTGCTGCTACTGATAGTAGTTAGGCCAAGGGCATTAGCTACAGAAGGGTATTCCGCTGATGGATACAGACACTATTAGAACAGCAAAGAGGAGGTTACATAGGTAATCTTGTTTCTTTAAATATCAGAAACTTCCGTATTGTGGAAAGGGAAGACTGGAAGGAACTCCACCTCCAAGATGCTTAGTCCAAAAACTTCCTGTTGGCATTAGCACCAAACAAAGCTCCCCGTACTTCTGGCATCATCTGCAAAGAAATAAGTTTCCATAGTAAATAGGTGCTGTCAAGTGGAGAACAGGGAAAGAACTGTCCCTCTTAACCTCAGGCAAAAATCAGTAACCCTTACGTGGCTGGAAAGGGAATCACAAAGCTGGCCGTATCACCTTATGTCCTTGACTTATTCCAAGTACTAGTACTACAGTGGAGTTCTTCGTGAGAAGGACTAATCACACTTTGGAAGACTTGGGTGCTTAGTAAGATTCATAAAAGTAGGACGAGTATAAAGGAAAATAAAACTGAAGGAAGCCTTGGCTTCACCCATACTCTGATGGCAGGAGAAGGGATGAGTTCATTACCGCTCACATCAGCTAAGCACCTACTATGTGCTCTCTAGAATGAACAAACAGAAACTGGAAATACAAGCTTGGACAGAAGCACAATGAAACACTTGTTACAGGAGCTGAGAAACCTGAGGAGGATTAAGTGTCAAGCTTCTTCGGCAGTCCTGCCCAAAGTAGGCACCATTAACCACAGGCGGTTTCTGAATGTGGCTCATCTGACAGAAAAATGGAATTCTGCATATTCCTTCATTTAAGGTTAGGTGCAACTAGTAGCTGCTTTATTGCACCAGCACAGCTTGAAGGTTTATGTTATCAGAAAATGAATTTAGGTCTAAGTGTTGGTACAAAAAAATAAATAGGTCTTCTAAGTTAGTACTCAGATAATCCATGAGACAAATACTTGTCCAAACAGTAAGCAGTTTTTCCAAGTCAAGGAATAACTAGATTAGCTATGGCAACAGATAAGAACTATTGAAAAGGTTCAGTATTTTAGAACACCTGGAATTTTCCCATCTTGTTTCCTAGAACTCATTTAGGAAACCTGGAAACAGTAGAAAAATGCCCCCCCCCAAGGAAATTTCTTTAAACAAGTATTTACTTTCATTTTCATCATCTGTGCTGGAGAGGTCAGCATCCCTACCAGTAATGAAAGGTATACATTAGAGTCCTAGATAAACAAATCCCTTGTTCTGACCCCAATCTTCCCTCAGGTGAATAATATCACCTCAGTAACTGCTACTGAATGCCAAAACCTCATAACTTTAAGAAAATGTAAACAAATCCCAAATGTCAGTGAATCGTTATTGGCTCTCTGTGCTCCTTCAAAGTAATAACAGACTAGGAACTAGTATTCCCACACTCACCTGCTGAGCTATGAGATCCAGCCGGCTTTCAAGGGTGTTGGAAACCTTTATTTTACGATCTCCATTATAGATCTCAACACCACCAGCTCTACAGAGAACAAAGGAAATAACAACCCATTTATTTTTATTCCTTTTGGGGAAAATAGTCAGGTATATGTGAGTATCTTAAATACTGTTCAAGGAGCCAATAAAATAAAGAACAGGCTTAAAATCAATTTGAAAAGCTTCTGACAAGTCCGGTACATGGGTATGTGTGTAGATGCTGTTGTTCCCCGAGGACCCGACACGTGATAATCTGATGCTAATTCTAACAGCCAGTCCTCTCCAACCAGGGTAGGATTTAGCCTCACTGTATAAATCAATGGATAAATACTAATTTATCCATTGAATGGACAGACTTGGGATTTATACTAGTGCATAAATGAC